ACCTGTTTTTGTCAGATCTCCACTGTTTTTGTTCGATCAGTTACATATTTTAATTGCATGTGCATTTTATTTTATTTAAACCTACATTCAATTTAAAGTTAATCCATAATCGAGATTTAAATCTGAGTTTAAAGTCATGGTGCAACAGGATTAATGTTAATTTTAAATATAACTTAAATCCAGGATCAAAATGATGGGTTAAAATGTAAACCTGCTTATTTTTAAAGGTTTAAAGTTTGGTGCAACAGAATTATTAGATAAAAGGCCTAATGATCATTTAAAATATAATTTGAAGAAGTTTTTCTTTCACAAAATGTGTATTGTATATATAACTATAAAATATAAGCTACTCAATTTTTCTCCCTCTTGCAGGCACTCATGTCACTTCCATTTCTTTCAGGATAAATAAATGAATTCACATGTTGTAATTCAGTCTGTAGGCCTATAGCGCACATAGCCCCTAAATTTAGCGATCAACTATGCATATTATAAGCTTAGCATTTAACATACATTTTTTTTCTATTTAAAGCTGAGGACTTGCAACTCGACTTGGACTTGCCTGTCTTAACTCGGGACTTGACTCGAGACTTGAATGCAAAGACTCGAGACTTACTTGTGACTTGCAAAACAATGACTTGGTCCCACCTCTGCTAAACACTATCTGTGATATTGGCATAGCAAGACAGTAAATAATCCATCCAAAGCCTTCCCTATGCTCTTACTTGAATAAATGTGGAGATCTCTCCAATATACTTTTTTGGAACTATACTTAATCCTGACAGATTGAATCACTGGCTATAGCCAATCTTTCAAATTAATTAATTAATTTATTTATTTAAAAGCAATTACATTTATTTGTATTGAATGCTAATAGTATTAATAATATTAGTAATCATACTATTAATAATAAATGCAAATTAATAATAATTGAATGCAAATGCTTTAACAAAAATACAAGCTTGACATTTAATTAATTTATTTTTATATTTTAAATTTTTTACAGTTGTATTTGTTTTTTTTACTTTTTATTATCATTATTATTAGTGTTAATAATATTAATAATTATGTTATTATACACTGTGTGTGTGTGTGTGTGTGTGTGTGTGTGTGTGTGTATATATATATATATATATATATATATTCATACACACACACACACACATATGTATGTCTTAACTTCAGTATGTCATAATATATTCTGTTTTATAATAACAGTAAGGCACTCTGTTGTAGATCCTTTATTTGTGACCATAATTAACAGTATAACCGTATAACATATATATATATATATATATACACATATATATTAATAGTTGTAGTAATAATAATAATTATTATTATTATATTTAATATCATCATAATCAGTTAAAGTTTTATTTTGCTGTGTGTTTGCTCATTTTATTTATTTTTATCTTATCTTATTTACATGTTATTTTGGGTTCAGTTGTTTTAGTACATCAAGTTAAACTAAATTAAAATGAGAAATGTTGTTTTGGGGATGAACTAACTTTTATTTTATTTTATTTCAGTTAACTTTTATGCAAGTAACAATTTTGTAATTTTTTTTTTTTTTTTTTTTTGAAAAATTGGTTTT